AAAAAGGGAATACTCGATCTACTGTATACCGATTTGCAAATTTGCTCCAGGCTCGGTTAAATATTTTTTTATTCGGTTCGTTGAAAAACGTGCGAATTGCCAAGGCGATCCTTTATATATATATATATATAAAATATTCCCTTGATGATTCTCCAAATCGAATCCAACCGATATTTTTCGAAATAGAATGTATATTTTAATTTTTGGCTGAGCGAAGCGAGCGAATAAAAAAATTAAAAAATAAAAAATAAAAAAGAGGAAAAAATAAATTTCGACCATTTGATCAAAAGATCTTTCACCTTTTTATTTTCATATTTGCTATATATATAGAGAGAAAGAGAGAAAGAGAGAGAGAGAGAGAGAGATATGTTCGTTACACGGACCCTTTCATTCATCGCGCGTACAAGATATCTCATCCGATTTCGACACCTCGACATTTTTCTCACTATCACTTTTCGTAGAAAATAAACGTTTTGGACGAAAGGTTGAACGAATGTCGCATCTTTATTCATTAATTCTCTCTATAAGGGCGACGCGTGAAGAATCGTATGTATTGATCAACGGATTCGTGGATCGATAGATTCTATATAAAAAAAGAAAAGAAATATCAAAAATTATCAGGTTAAGAGATATGAATCAATTTTGAATTTTAAATTTATAATTTTTAGTCATATGTATTAATTATATATACGTGTATAATTATATAATACGTGTTAATTAATCAAAGTTGATCTTTCGAGATGAATGAATAATACTGCGATAAATATATAACCTCGACTGCACTTCGTTCAATTTTCGAAACATTTTTCGTGACAAAAATGATACTTAGAAGATGACTGAAATGAGACGACTCTTAAGAGGATCGACAGATTCTAAAAAATATTAAAAATTATCAATTTAAGAGGTATTTCAATTCTAAACTAATAATTTTTAGTCATACATCACCTTAATTCATCAAAGTTGATCTAAAATTATAAATATTTTTCGTGACAATATTGAGACATATCTCATCTAATTCTCTTTCTTTCTAATTCTTTCTATAAAAAAAAAAAAATAAAAATTCATTATCAAAATTAAAAATCATCAGAGATATTTCAATTTTAAATTCTAAACTAATAATTTAATCTTACATCTTAATCATCAAACTTGATCTAAAATATTATAAATATTTTTCGTGACAATATTGAGAGGACGACGAGTGAAATTAGGCGAGATACCTCGCTTCGATGTTTACGTTTCTCCAGCAAATTTTCTTCTCTCTCTCTTTTCCCTCTCCCCTCTCTCTCCCTAATAGATTCGAAGAACGCACGTGTTTGGAGTGGCTCGAGGCGGATTCCTTGCGCGCGTCGGATCCTCGCTACGCGACACCACCGCGATTTGATGATTCTCGAATCACCTCGTTTAAAACGATCATGCGCAATGACGCGTTTCTCGACGCGTTCCAAGCCGGCCAAGTCGATTCGTTTTCGGCAGTGAAAATTCATAATTCGTGCACGAAAATGGATAATTGTTCGAACAATTGTTATGCGATTTTGAAAAGGAAGCCCGTATTCTCGAGGAATCGAGAGAATTTGTTTCTGAACAGGATCACGAAATTGCCATTTGCTCTTTCACGAGCGAACGTTTTTTAATTCTCTTACCCATAGTAGTCTCGTCTTTGACTTTCAAATTTCTTAATATTGCATTGACCATAATGTTAAATATTAAGGAAATTCTAAGGAAATGAATGTTAATGGGAAATTTATATGATAATATAATTTCTCGAAGTTGAGTTTTTCTTCTTTTTTTTTTTTTTTTTTTTTTGCGTATATTATTAATCTGATATAAATTACAAGATTGAATAAATTTCTCTTCGATTCATCGATTGGTGACCAATCCCAAGTTTGTTTTTAAATAATAATAATGTTTGAAACTAACCTAGATCGAATTTCAAGGAGTAGATAAAATTGTTCGACATATTTTTGCAGATTTTTCTCAAGTTTTCTTCTCTCGAATCATATATCTCCATTTTAACACGGGTAAAAACGCGTTTTACCGTTATAGATCGAAAATCATGGGAGACGTGAGGATAATTAATTATTATTGGTATTGGCCGGAAGATCAACAATTCATCGTTTCGAGGATTATTCGAGGAGAGACGTTCGGCCCATTACCGTTGGGTTGTGGGTTTCGCAAGGTCCATTGTGATAACTAGTTATTAATGCGGGCATTTCGATTCCCCCCCTCGCTTCGCCTCTCTCTCTCTCTTCCCTCTCCCTCCTCCTCCTCTCTGCCCCTGCCATGTAACTGACAGTAACAATCGTTATTCGAAGGAAATTTTGGCGAGCGTTACGTCGAATGGCTGGCACGTGACTCGATTGCGATTAGAGAGTCTGAATGACTGTCGAACGCACGCGTGTACCGTTCCTCGAGCGATCGTAAAAGCTTCCTCGCCGTCTCTGATTTTCCAGTCGCCTTTTCCGACCAAAATTCCAACTCCGTTTTATCGCCTTCGATCATTCGTCGCGATATATATATATATATATATATATATATATATAATTCGAATTGTTTTTTGCAAATCGAGAATCTTTTAAAAATTATAATTTTAACATTTTATTTATTTTTTCTCTTTCTCTCTCTTTCTTCCGTTCCAAGAAGAAATTTGAAGAAAAAAAAGAATATATTCTCTTTCTCTCTCTCTTTTCTTCAAATTTTTATAAATTTAGAATCCTTTTGAAAAATTCAAGAAAAAAGTCTTTTAAAAATTACAACTAGAATTTTATATTCAATTCTCTCTCTTTTTCTTCCGCTCCTTTATTGTTCTTCAAATTTCTATAAATCGAGAATCTTTTCGAAAGATTCAAGAAAAACAAAAAATCTTTTAAAAATTTCAAATACAATGCGTTTTATTCATCTTTAATTATTTTTTTTCTCGTTTAAACGATTGTTTTTCAAATTTTTATAAATCAAGAATCTTTTCGAAAGATTCGAGAAAAGAGAAAATATTCTCTTGCTCTCTTTCACTCTTCTGCTCCAAGAACGATTATTTTTTAAATTTCTATAAATTGAAAATCTTTTTGAAAGATTAAAAAAAAACAAAAAATCTTCTCTTTTTCTCTCTCACTCTTCCGCTCCAAGAACGATTGTTCTTCAAATTTTTATAAATCGAGAATCTTTTCGAAAGATTCAAGAAAACCCAAAAAATCTTTTAAAAATTACAACTACAATTTTACATTCTCTCTCTCTCTCTCTTCTGTAAGAATTTTAATCGCGATGAATCCCAAAAAGGTAGAAACAAAAAGAAAGAAAAAAAAAAACCCAACCAATAATCTTTCTTCTCGCCAACCTCGCTCTTCGCTTTTCGCGAAATGGAAAAGAAAGGAGGGAAGAAAGCGAGGGAGGGGGAGAGGAGACGGAACAGGATGAAGATAGCGTCATCCATTTCCCCGAAAAGTAATTACACGGTGGCCGGATTAAAAATAGAAGGGACAGGTTCCGAGGTTCGGAAATATTGCGGTCGCGCCAAACGAAATCGTCCCCCTCCTTCCCCGCCACCGAAGTGAAACGAGCCAGACAGAGACAGACAGAGAAAAAGAAAGAGAGAGCGCGCGCGCGCGCGTTTCGTCGGTCCAACGTTTCTTAACGTTTCCTCGCCCTCTTATTTCCACCGGTTCGAGGCTCAGCCCCCGAGTGAACCAGCGGGCCGAGGAGGCATCGGTATCGGGGCGGGCAACCTGCCAAATCACACCCCGGGGAAGATAAAAACGAGAGAGGAGGAGGAAGATCGGGGGAATTATTGGCAGTGCGAAAGGAGAAATCTTTTTTATATTCTTGCACCACCGCCTTTTGTCCTTTTGCGACTCCCGAAAAAAATCGGGCGGGACGTGGCCCGAATACCGAATTCCCCACGATTCGAATTTTCCACGATATTCCCTTCTCCTCTCCTCTCCTCTTCACTCGTCAGATGAGCGGAAAATTGTATTAATCAAAGGTGGTGAGAAGCAATCGCAGAGTATTCGTTCTGGATCGTTGATATTCGTTCGTAATCATTCTCAAACGAATATTAATGGGGGAACGAATGGTGTCGAGCAACAGCGTACACAAGTGCGAGAAAAGAATTTTATACGAATTTTCTCTCTCCGTATTTTCTCCTATCTAACGTCGTAATAACGTGTCAACGCTCGCTTAACCACCATCACTTTGAAAAATTCATAGGTGTTCTAACCACGGCTGTGTACGGTTCGTTAGCAACGGCCTTCTCTCATTTCTCATAAAATGGTGAAATTTGTGAGCGTGAATCGAGAGCGAGAAGGAGAATGATTCAAGACTCGAGGCGATATTTCGCAGGATATATCGAACATTGTTCGAGGACGATTACGAAAGCGTGAAATTATATATATATATATCGAACCTCGTTTTTAAGAATAATCGAGAGGAATAATCCCTCGCACGAATCTCGTTCCGGTCGGGACACTTCCCCGTCGCGTAATTGTCCGGATTCAAACGGAAATTTACGGACACGCATCCTCCCTCTCCCTCACTTCGATACCGCTTAACAATCTCCCATTAAATCTTTCGATTATCCCAGTTCAATTATTATCAACCGAACCGGCCACGGTTTACGGTTTACGTTCGGATCGAACGCGTATTCGATATATTAATCGATCGCGATGTGTGTTTGACTTCTACTAACGAACCATCTTTTTTCCGTTCTTTCTTTCCTTCTTTTTTCCTTTCACCGAAAATTAAACGGAAATCTCTCTCTTTCTCTCTCTCACTTTCTCTGGCAAATTTAGAAAAAACTTCGGGTTAGATAAGACGGGTATGAGAGATCCAGCGTTTCTCGATCTAACGTTCTCCCGGCACTTGAAAAATTTTTTTCTCTCTACTACTTTGCAACGTTCGTCAATTGGATGGGCGCGCGGAGAAGGTTGAGAAACGCTGGCTCGTCGCCAGCGCGTATCCGGTTACGCGCGCAATCGTAAAATTGTGGTCGTAATGTAAAAAAGAGCACTCACTTTCTCAGAGTGGCGAGACGTTCCTCCTGCGCCTTGATGTACCCGTTCAGAGTGTCGATGAGCACCGCCTCCGTCTCCAACAATTCCTCCATGTCCGCCAACGCGGTGTAAAGTTCCGCGACGCAGCAACCATGCCGGGACCACGTGGTCGTGATCGAGATAAGGGCCAGAACGATGCCGGCCAACCTCGATACCCTTCCAATTTCCATCTGCGTTTCCCGTAAATCTGCGATCGTAAATATGAAAAAGAAAAGAGAAAAAGAAAGGAAAAGGAAAAGAAAAAAAGAGAAATGAACGAGGTGGAGAGAAGAACGGGGTTGTAATCGAAACAGCAATGGCGATTCGTTTGCTCGATTAATCGCCGCGGGTACTCGATCGACTCTCGTTCCCCGTTCTTTTCTCTTTTTCGTTCTATTTCCCCTCCCCTCCCTCCCCGCCCTCCTCATGATTCTCGCCTACCGCAGCGCCCATCCCATCGATGGAAGCGGCTCGCTTTTCGACCGAAAAAAAGCGACACTAACGAGGACCAAATGAAGATAGATGGCTATCAATTAATCATTCGTGGCTCGAAAGAGAGAGAGAGAGAGAGAGAAAAAGAATGGTTCGCGGGTTGATTCCGCAACTTCGTTTACCTTTCTCTGTCTTCGAACGTTTTTTTAGAAATTTTGTTTTTTTTTTTTTTTAACTAGATAGATACTCGCTGTCGAATTATTACCGCATCCCGCGATTTGATCGTCGTTTTATTATAGAGCTATCAAACTTTCCGAATGATGTGTCGCGCGTTCGTTTAGCACATCGCATACGGCATTCTGCTCGCTTTTGACCGCTCTAAGAAAAAGTATACGCACGTGTGCATTTATATGCATTTTTTAACTCACATTTATAAAGTATTCTTAAATATTAGTATACATATTTTTTATACGTGTATTTATTACGTAAGCTTTTTTACGTTTTAACTATTATTTATTATATAAATAAAATTGAATCGATTAATTATTATTTAATTTACAAACTTGAATAATGCTTTAGAGTATGATATCTGGTTTTGCTTCTTTTTTCCATTCGATAAACAGACTTTATTTTTTTTTCTTGCCGTTTCCTATTATTGCTTCGAGTATTTTTAATTCCTCGAGTCGGTCGAGTCGAAAAAAAGTTAAAATGAGATATCTCGTGACTCGTACGCGATGTGTTAACTCTATCCTGAATCAATGGAAAAGGAGGCGTACACGATTGAGATTGAACAAAATTTAACTCGAACGGTTCTCAGCCGCCATTTTCGATTCGAATAGCGATATTTACTTTTTAGAATTCACGAATAGTTTTCGTAAGCTCTTTACATATAATCTTATGGAGCATAGAATAATATAATATCGAGTAGGTAGATTTTCTTATCTCAAATTGGATTTCTTATCTGCATCTTCGCCATTGGTCCGAGTTTGACGGTAATAAGTGCCGATAAAAATATTATTTTCAATATTTTGCTGCTTTCCTTCCCTCTATACTCTTTCTTAACGAATAGAAATAATTTCGTCGTTCAACGACGGAACCTAATTCCATTACCATATTACTATGCTCACAAACTCGAAAACTTTGTAATATTAAAAAGTAATATTTCTATTGCTACACTTATCTACACTTCACAAGATTACACACGTATAGCTCTATTCCATGAATATTCTAAAAAACTCAAACTCAAATAAATATTATCGCCGCGTCGATTGGATGAGCAAAAAGATGGTTAAACATTTGAAAAAGAGAGTATCGTTTAGTCATCCCCCACCTTTCTCCTCTTTCCCCTCCTCTCTGCGCCGAGTTTCGACGCGAAAAACTTCGCCGTTGATCGACATTAGCGCATCGAAGTTTAAGAAATCCACTCGTCTGTCCGTGCAACTTGACTTGCGGTAGGAGGGGAGGGGGGAGCGTGGAGAGGGAAATGTTTCGGTATAGGCGCGTCTCTCGATCCGCCCTATCACGAATCGAATCGAGAATCAAACGCGCGACAAATAGAGGGCGCCACGATCTTTGACGAAGTTTCGTACCCACGATGGAAATTGATATCTGACTCGAGGATTGTTTTCGAGGCTCGAATTTCTCGCCAAATAGTTTATCGCGTTAAATATGGAATTTTAACTTTTGGATCGATTCCACGTTGTGAAAGCCGGCTTGTATTTCGGATATACAATATAATAATTTACTTTGGGAAAAATGGATTTCCCTCCCCGAAAGGAATATCATTTATTTCGAAACGAATGTTATTTCGGAAGCGAAGAGGAAATGGACGGTTTTTAACTTTGAACTGATATTTTTCCTATCAGTGCCCGTTCAGAAATTGGAAGGATATATATATGTCGAGGCTATAGGGGAAAAATGGACTTGTTGAAATAAATACGAACGTTATTTTGGAGAGTGTTTCGTACGATATAGTAATTCGTTCCAATGACGATTGGAATGATTAAGAATGGAAGGATTTCGGGAGTATTTAAATTAAAAATAGATTTTCGAGAGAAGAAAAGGGGAAATAAATAGGATCGGAGTAGATTCGGTTCTCGAATTTTGTAATAATAATAATTTTTTCGTACACGTGTTTACGAAATATTTCGTTCAAAATGGAGATGAAATAGAAAAAATGGTGTTCAGAAGCGGAATGATGAATCGGACGATTTTTAAGTTTTGACTATTATCTTTTTCCCGTGTACATAAATAACATGGTAATATGCAAAGTATCCCGTAACCTTTAAAATCCACCAGGAATACCGCATCCTGAAATTCCTTCGACGGTAATTCCCAACTCCTTGCCACGTTCCGCGCGTTCCTCGGCAAAAATGTCGGGGATAAAAACGACTTACTCGAGACTTCGCCCCAACCGCACAGCCCAGTTTCCCGGCCGTAACATTCGACGCTTTATTAAACTAAAGCAACACGAATGTCGGAATTTCCTGTGAACATACGCCGCTTTTATTCAATCTTCTTTAATCAACGCCGATAACGGATAACCTTGACACCTATCTGACGTCTATCTTCTGTAATTTCGTTATTTCAACGAATTAAAATAAATCTTTAACAACAGAAATAGAAGAGAATATAATATGCAAAATAGCTCACGATAATATATTCTTGACGGATATTTTTTAATTTCATCATTAACTCTGTTTAGAAGAAATTTTGTAAGAAATTTAAAGACCAGAAACTAGAGAATATCGATGAAATTTCTTCGTATCTAATCATAATTATGATTAATAAGCTTAAATACAAGGGACGATCAGGTATAAAAATTTAAAAAAAAGAAATTTAAAGACAAAAAATTAGAGAATGATATTAATATTCAGTGTCATTAAAAATTAAATAAAAAGAAATTTAAAAATCAAAAAACAAGAATAATATTAATATTAATATTAATATTCACAAAACTCCTTTGTATTAAATAAGAAGGGAATATAAAATATTTCACGATAATATATTTCTTAATTTCACAAAATTTTGAAAAAAATTTAAAGAGCAAAAACTGGAGAATATCGATGAAATTCCTTTGACAATCAATTGTAAAAAAATTTTGAAAGAAATTTAAAAAAAGAAAGAAAATAATATTAATATCCAGCGACAAGACACAATCAGATAAAAAATGTTCCACGATAACATTAAAAAATTAAAATAAACTCTATCGAGAATTTGAAAGAAATTTAAAGAAAAACCAAAGAATAATATTAATATCTATAAAACTCCTTTATATTAAAAACTAGAGAATAACATCCAGTGACAACCAAGTAAAAAATATTCTACGATAACATTAACAAATTAAAATAATTGACAAAAGAAATTTAGAAACCAAAAACCAGAGAATAATATTAATATCCATAAAACTGGTTCGTAGCCAGCCGTCGACGACAAGAGATACCGGCCGAGCACGAAATATCCCATCCCCCTCCTCCTCATTGCAGCGCAAATCCCCCTGAAAAGTTCGCTTCTTAAACTATCGATCGAACCAGCGCCCTTTTCTCGCAGGGGGACAAATTAAAGAAAAATTCTCTAATCGAGTTTCCAGCAGGTGGCGGTGGCGGTGGCCCCCAGGTCGCCCCATTGCCCCCCATCCCGTGCCCGCTCCCACAACTTTTCCTACGGAGAGAAGGATTAAACTTGCACCTGCCCGATCGACCATTTATCCCATCACGCTTTCGCCAACTTCCTCCTCCTCCTCGTTTCCACTTGCCACTCTCCCCCCTTTTTTCTTGTTCACCCCTTGGTTCATGGCCACTCGACTCGAAGTTGAAAAGCGAGCAGAGAGAAAACTCGATTCGAATTATAAATAAAAGAGGCATGAAAATTGCAACTCTTTGAAGGATACGGTAATTCTCTCCTTCTCTTTTTTATTTATTATTCGCGTATGTTTTTTCTCGTTTTTATTTCACGACAGTTGCTTGGATCGAATTTTGAAACGGGTCTGATTTTTTCGAAGAAAATTGTAATAGAAAAACAAATCGTGTTAATCGAGCTGCTGGTTAGTAATAAAAAGTTGAAAAAGATCGTTTGGATGTTTCGAAGAGTCTCCTTCTCTTTCTTAAACGATCTCGAGTCGAGAGTCGAGGAGTTTCGTTTTTTCGAAACTTTTTTATCAACTGATATTAAGCTGAAAGAGTAGAAGTCGTTTTTTTTCTTTTTAAAGTAAGATGTTTATCAGCGTTTCCATCGTTTCATCGGTGGATTTAAGATCGATTCAAGGAGTGGCACGGCGTCGATTTCAACGAGAAATATTATTACAAAGTAAAAACGGAATGGTCGAAACGTTATATTAATTATCCTTGATTTTCCATGTTAACACTTGATATAGGATGGCGTGCCGGTTATATCGCTTCGATCACGTCCAAACTTGTTTACGTTCATCTCGATTCATAGCTTGAAAATTCAAACCGCTATGAATATTCTACCATCATTTTATTCATATTGCTGTTAATAAATATCCAAACGATTGCCGAACGTCTCTTCTTTTGTACATGTTGGTGTTTATAAAAACGTGAGTTACCTTTGGAGAGTAGATTCTAGACATCAAAACGATAAAAAAAGTTCGTATATACATATTACCGATAAGGCTTAATTAACGAGTTATGAGCATTTTAAGTTTGTATTAGATAGAGCGAGACGGCGAAAGAGCGAGAACGCTCAGTTGGCAGTGCCGTATTGCAATATCGTTTGTGTAGCGGAGCCCCTCGATGAAAGTAAATATACAATTGATAC